GGAGTGAAGTGGCATCTCATTGTGGTTTTTATTTGCATTTCCCTAATGATTAGTGAGGTTGAACATTTTTTCATATGCTCCATTGTCATTTTTAACTTTATGACAAAGTATAGTGATTTTTGAAATCTTGCCAAATATAGAACGAGTGTGTGCCAATGTTTTATTAATTCATGAATGATGAACTCATCATTCAAAATTTCTGTCTTTGTCAAATATTTACCCTTTCCACTGATTTCCTCCCTTCCTGCTTTCTTTGTTTTCATAGGTATTATTTTCCTTTTTTCTGAAATTTTATTATTTTGGCACCCATCTGTTGGTGGCGAATACAGCTTTCGGTTGCCTGCAATGTCTTTATTTCACCCCCAGTGTTGAAGGGTGTTTTCTCCTGTTGTAGAGTTCTAGACTGACACTTACTTTCAGCTCTTTAAATATAGCCTCACCTGGCTGCCAGCGTTAATCATTTCCCTTGTGAATAAAATGTAAATCTTATGGTTGTTCATTTGAAAATGTGTTCTTTTTCTTTCAGTGCTCTTAAGATTTTGTTTTTGTGTTTCAGCAGTTTCACTACGGTGTGTCACAGGATGTGTGTGTGTGTGTGTGTGTGTGTGTGTGTGTGTTTTATTTTGTTGAAGTATAATAGACAAAAGGTGCACGTGTCAGATGTACACCTGGATGAATGCTCACTAACTGGGCACAGCCATGTCAACACCACCCTGATACATAAACAGAACATTTCTAGCTCCCCCTTTATTCTGCTTTCCAGTAATTTCTCTCCAAGGGCAATGACTACCCTGACTTCTAACAGCATGGGTTACATTTGCTTGTTTGGGATCTTTACATAGATGTGAATGTACTCTACTGTCTTTCTGTGTGTTTTTTTTTGTTCAACCAAACGTTTGTGATATTTATCCATAGCAATGCATGGAGGTGTAGGCCATCAATCCTTGTTGTTCTAGTATCCTGGTGTATGAATATCCACAACCTATATATTCATTCTAGTGTTATCAGGTATTTTTTTAGCTCCTAATTTAGGCTTCAAAACATAGTACTGCTTTGGGTGTTTTCCTGCATTCATTCTGCTGGAATACACCTAGGAGTGTAATTTCTGTGTTTTGTGCTGTGCATGTATTCAGTTTTGGTAGGTACTGCCAAACATTGTTTAAAGTGACTCAATTTATACCCTGTGAATTTGAGTGTCGTGAATATGCTACATCCTCACCAACTCATCAAATTTTCACCTTTTCATTTT